GGATTAATTGTGTGCTCTGTGTTCGCTTTGGTGTCAGAGCTCTAACTTAACGTTCAGATTAATTTTTTAACTGATTTATTTTTAATTAAATGTTATTAATTATTTTATTCTTGAAGTTTCTTAAAAAACAAAACGAGTTTCCTGCTTCATTAACTTTACAAAGTGACTTGTTAACAACTTGTTTTCTGTTCCTAAGGACCGACATTTGAACCAACCAGAGTCCAAACATGTCAAAGGCTCCAGATTCTCCATCACGCCCCCGATCCAGAACCAGATCTAGATCCTACTCCAGGTCCCGGTCTAGGAGTGTCTCCCGTTCCAGATCCAGGAAACGTCACTACAGGTGAGGCCGGCCAGGAGCTCCGTTTGTGAACGGATCCGGACCAGAGGAGAGAATATTTGATCTGGATCTGTTCCTGTTTATATTTAGATTTAGCTCATTTTTAATCTTTGATTGACAGCTCTTTGAGCCAATAGGAGCTTGTGTATCTGCTCCTTTTAAAAAAACCTTCAGTTTTTGTGCAGCTGATAATCTAACTGTTCTCTGGGTTTGGACTTGACTCCAGCTGGTTCTTGATCAGTGCTCAGGTGAGTGTGGGACTAAAGGTGTTTTAGAAGTTTAAGGAATAAAAACAGATCAGTTCTGTCAGAAGGAATAACTTGTTCCTGCAGAGAAATAAACAGTTTTTATAAAGAAACATAAGAAACTTGTGTTAAATAAAAATGATAGATTAGTTTCTCTGGACGTTTGTTTAGATTAGCATTATTTAGCATGTTGAGCTGTGGGAGGATGAGCAGCGTTCAGCTGCCTTCAGATAAAGAGTGAAGCTCTTGGAGTTTGACCCTGAACTCTGTCATTACTCTATGTTCAGGGTTTGTCAGGTACAGGTTAAAGCTGCTACCGCTCATTATCACCTCCCCCCTCGGGTACTTCCTCCCCCGTCTGTGGGGGAGGGCAGACTGTCCTGCGCTCGCTGCGTGCATGAAGGCGCAGCAGCTTCTGGATCATGCAGAGGTAGGTTCTGTTAGTCTAGATGTTCTGAACAGGTYCTTCAGTGGATGTTAAAGTAGGAAACTCTACAGTTGTTTTAATGACGTCTCTTTGGACTCTGACTGTGTTCAGTGTGTGTTCAGACGAGCCGACGCTGCTCAGTGCAGACTCTGTGGTTTTAGTTTTAACCTGGGCCAGTCCAAACCTGAGAGCAGAGCCAGGTGCTGCCCTCTGCTGGTCACATCCACAAACTGAACTGTTCACTCAGCAGCTGCAGGGCAGACACTTGATTTCTTTCATATACAAATGTTTTCAGTCAGCAGGTTGACAGTTTGAGGAGCTGCTTGAGTAAAACGTCCTCGTTCTCCTCTTCATCCTCTTGTTCTTTGAAACGGAGAGCAAAACTGTTGCTACTAAAACTTTTCTACACCCAGAGGTTACACAACCTCCATTAGTTTTCTGCTTACAGGTCAGACATTTTTATTTAAACAGGAGTAAACTGTGTACATGACCTCATTAAAGTTACAGTTCAGTGTTCTTAGGACTGAAGACTTTCTGAAGAAACAGGTTTATAAACATCTTTTCTGTCATTTTAGTGTTTTCAACTAAGGAGCTTTGATATAGTTATTTAAAATAAATTATAGCAGAGGAAGTTCTCTGCACAGGAAAAAAGTATTATTTTAACCAAACTGACAAGTTTCTCCAGTAAAATTGTGTAATTTAAAGGCACTGAAACACCTGCCTTCTGTTGAGGAAGCTGAGCCTGGGGACTTTGGGTTGGGCTCTCCAATCTCTGGGGATGAGGTCRCTGAGGTGGTCAAAAACCTCCTCGGTGGCAGGGCCCCGGGGGTGGATGAGATCCGCCCGGAGTTCCTCAAGGCTCTGGATGTTGTAGGGTTGTGTTGGCTTACGCGACTCTGCAATATCACATGGACATCGGGGGCAGTACCCCTGGATTGGCAGACTAGGGTGGTGGTCCCCCTCTTCAAAAAGGGGGACCGGAGGGTGTGCTCCAATTACAAGGGGGTCACACTCTTAAGCCTCCCTGGTAATGTCTATTCAGGGGTCCTGGATCGGAG